AAAAAAAAAAAGTGTACTTTCACCCAAGAAATTATAACTTTTCTAGAACCACTCTTTTGACACCCAAACCTACAAGCATACATAACAATTAGGGCTCTTTGCATTTTCAGTTTCTTTGGCCAGTTTATTTCCCAAATTGACATAAAGATGTTTTCATACAAATTAGATTTCTCATAAACTTTAATTGATGGAAACATGTATTATGTGAGATAATACATGAAGATACACTTGCATAATAAAAATACAGTATGTATTTAATGTCTTCGATTTAGAATATATTGTGTGTGACAGAGACAGGAAAAACAGGATTCTTAAACTTACTGCTTTTATTTTCTAAGTACAATTTGATCCCAAACTCACAGTCCTGACCTAGACTCTGTGAACAGCACTCACAAACAACTCACAAGAAGTGTCAAAAAGTGGTTTAGAGTCAATATGGCCTTGGGTAAATACACAGAAATATTGGTAATGCAGACTGGAAGATTTGTATCACTTAATCTTTGGCATCTCAATAGCCAAACTGGGCTGAAATTTTCTATATTGCACACAGAAATAGGTATCTAGTGAAGATAAAGAAAAGAGCACAAACTAGGAGGATTACCTTAAATTAGCTTCTTCTTCAGAAAAGTTTTAACACCAAACCACAACCTGAAATAACTAAAAAGTTTCTACAGATACAGATTATAAGAAGATCCTTCTCATAGTTTGACAGTCAAATTTTAACATTTAACTACTTACAGAGCCATCTTTCAGACTTCTTTCGTAGGAGAACTGACACACCATATTTTCTTGATCTCTTGAAATCACAAAGTTGTATTTGCCAGCTGACTCTTCTCTAGTCACCAATGCTTTCTTCAGCTCTTCCACATACTTTGCCTTGTTCATTTCCATGTCAGCAGCCTCCCTGGAAATTTCTGCCTCAGACACTATCAGAAAGAAATACGTGAGGAATAAATATTCACATGTGTGTGAACATGTATATATCATATATATTATTATGCATATCACAATATACATATATTTGATATATATTTATATGTACATACAGACACGTACTGATCATCATTAAGGTCTTTTCCAACCCAAGCCATTCTATGATTCTCTGAAATGTTAGGAAACTATTCTTTCCTTTGCATACATCAATGTGCCAGTGTGCTATTTCCACTAATGGAAATGTAGCAGGAATACTGTGTTTTTCATAGGTATTAAGTTCTGTCCCCTTTTTTCCTGTCTGAAATTGGTTTATTGCTACTTGTCCTCCACTCTACTTGCCAAAAGTCACTCTGAAAAACACTAACCTTTCACCAAAGATAGATAGATAGATATAAGCAAATTAAAGAGAGAATCTGTACATTGTAACGCAGGCTTTGATGTGCAGCCTACCAATACAGTATTTTAGACTGCTGACTTGATTAACAGAACTATTTCCTTTTCTTCCCAACAATCTTCTCAGGAAGACTGCTCTGCATTGTCACTTACTCCTCATTGTTCTTAGATCCTTCTAGCATTTGCCCAGCATTTAAGAGAGTAAAGGACATTACTCCGTGAGAGTGTTTAAGAAAAAAAAAAAAAAAAGAAAAAAATCCACACAAACCAAAACAAAAAAGCAAACAAAACCACCAAAAACCAACCCAAAACCCAACAACATATATCCTTCACAGAACTGCAAGTATTCCACTCAAAAGCCATATTAATAGTTGAATGTCTTCTCTATACAAATGCCTTTAAAAATAGTTTCATACCGAGACATAGAGTCTGTACATGTATTGAAATCACACTGATAGAAATAGAACAGCATTTCAATCAGACATGAGCCTCTTCAAATTGCCTCATTTTTCTCCAGTCTTCTTGACACAGTAGCTAAACCTGTACTGCCAAGCAGTATGAATCAAATCAATCCATCATATAAAAATACAGCAAAGAGGCAAATTAATGATTATTTGCTATAAATAGTTATAGAACACACTTCAGGATTTCTGGATTAATTCTGCACCTGCAGGAATTTTTGCTTATTTTCATCAGTTTGTGAGGATTTTAGAGGGCCCAGCATTGAAACCCTTGCCAGATAAAGCCAAAACAAACAACATCCCCTGCCTTCACATCATGCAACAAGCTGTTAATTTCAGAGGAGGTTACTGGGTGGGTCAGGCATAATTTCACCTTTATAAATCCTCACTACCTTGTTCTTAGTATTTTTCGAAATGGTATCTAAGACTTTTCCTCCAATACCCTCTGGCTGACCAGGGTCTAGTCGATCAGATCAATCCCCTTACTCTCCACAAAGATAGGGGAGACATGTCTTCCAGCCCTTAAAAATATCCCCTGAGAACCATTACCCTGCAATGGAACTAAACTGCTTTGGAGTTATAAGAAGTGAAAAGAAAATAGGAAAATTTAAAACAAAAAAAAAAAAAAAAAAGGAAATACTCTCAGTAAATACAAGTAAGTCAGCTTTTGTCACACAAGATGTGCAGTGACAGGCCTCTGGCAGTCTGAAATCTGTTACAAAGTTTTCCATATTATCCTTCAGAGAAAATGCTTAAAAATGAGTATTATCTGCTCCTCTCTTCTTTTAAGATACAAGAGGAAACCTGTCAAACTCATAAAAGCCTAACATAAAGTAAAAGGACAAGGCAGGATACACAGTATTTTACCACATCTGCAAAAACTCAAACATTAATCAGATGTCATAAAATGCAGAAATTTTATTATACGTAAAAAGTAATATAGGAGTACTGAGGAACATGTATTAGAAAAAATGACAAACAAAATAACCTCACAATCAGCATTTTCCAAGATTTTTAAAACTTACTTCAAGTATGAAATAAATGTTATCAGAAAAGCTTAAGACTTCAACAATTGCCAGCTGTATCTTGATTTTTTTCCAAACTGAAAGCAGAACTTCTATTTTTCATATAAAGAATGATACAGTGAAACTACTGTCAGGAAAACAGCTAAACTCACAAGTCAAGGAACAATTTGGGCTACACTTATCTTGCAGAGCTAACAATCCACTACATATAGTAAGAACCAAAACATTTTTATGAGGCAAAGAGGGTCAGAAAAACGTAAGTTTGAAATACTTGGAAAAACAAATGTTTGTCCAGAATAGTGACTTCAACACTAAGAATAATCTATATGAATTTTTAATGAAAATAAGGAAGTTCTAAAAACAATAAAGCACTGTGGGTTTTTTCTCCTGTGGTGCCTATACAGTACTGCATGTTCCTTTATCTTATAAAATCAGCAGAACTGATCATTCGAGAAACATGGAATGTATAAATCCATAGAGCTGCAGTCCTTTAACCCAACACCAAGCTTATTCATTATATAATATTATATATTTTTGTGCTTCAAACATTTACCTTTTTCCCCCCTCTCGTTAAATAGAACTCCTAACACTTTTCATCATCACATTAAATACGCAAAACCCATAAAAGACAACTCCATCAGCAACTCTCACTCACTTCCTGGTAGGTCTTGCCAAGCAAAATAATCCACACCTTGAGAAACCCAGAAAAGATTTCCCACAGCAAGAATACTCTGACCATTGCTTTCCCTCCTCCCAATTTAGAACCTAAGTAGCCTCAAACATGATGTAATATCTTTAAAAAGTGACCAAAAGCAATGCTGGGTGCATGAAAACACAGATTTGAGAGGTAGGAAAAGCTCTTGCACAAAAACATCAACTCCTAATGAAACTACTCAAGGGACTACAAATAAAATTATTCAAGGGACTATAAATTCAGTAAGAATTCCTTAGAAATGGATCAGATTCTTACAGAAGAAGCAGAAGCACTCTCCTTTGGATGAGTACCCAGAGCTCAAGCTAAACTGTTGCAGGTCTCTTCTTTTCCTTTTAACAGAGTGAGGTCATCCTGCTTTCACTGGCCGTCTGTTTTGGGAAATGGATTATCTAGCCATTCTGCCAGATGCAGGAAGTCAACAAAATGAGAATTGTGTCTACATATTCTTTCTATATGATCCCAGTTATAGGGACACAGCTTTCACTTAGAAAAATAAGAACTGGCTTTCTGTGAATTTAAATGGAGAATTTTAAAGTCACATAAGAAAATGAGAAGATCTTTTAAACAGAAAAATTAGCTCAATTATTTAAGTATTTATCAGTGTTAATACCCTTCTTGTTATTTTCAAAATACTTAGTTTAACTTCAATATTGTCAAACCAAGAAAAATCTTTCATACTAGTCTACAGGGAATCAGGATTGGAATATATGTATTTGTTTTGTGTAGGAACTCCTGATCAATGGTGTGTGTGTGAAATGTTAAAAGGAATATGGAAGAGAAGATTTAATTTATATGTAGACATACATATATCTATATATATGTACCTAAATCTCCGTATATATAAAGATCTATCTCAGACCTATATGAAGGCTTGGCTTATGTAGGAGAAACTGGGCAGAATCAACACCCATTGGGCCAGGAGAAGGAAGGAAGCAACTACACAGATATATAGTTTTATAATTCAGATATAGAGTCCAGAAAATATTTTTGCCTACAATATGCTGTAAAATATGTAATTCTTTCCTGCCCTTGAAATACTTTTGCCAACAAAAGAAGGGTTTTTGATTAAGGCTTCCATTTCTCAAGGAACACACAAATCTTCTTTCTTTAGGTGTTAATGAGAAAAGCATTCATATATGCAGAGACTCATTCTCTTATCCAGGTATCTGAGTGAAGGAAAAAAAAAAGTCCCTCAGGCTGTTTTTTATTGTATTCTTTTGATAACTTATTGTCCTTTCCCATTCCCAAAAATTCACCTCAGTGCCAAATATAATTACCTTAAATTATTAAGATTTTATGAAAACATTTCATAAACAGCTTCAACTAAATACTTCATGAACTCTTAATTTGCAAATGGAACTTGCACCAAACTTTGCTCAAGAATCTAGAGAAGATACATAAGTGGTACTTTATTCTCACTCCAAGAAATTATATATTCTTGAAAAAAAAGAAAACATTGCATATCCATATCCTAAATTAATCAGCATTAGCTTTGACACTCATTTTTTTCCAGATTTGAAAGTTCTGTGGTTATGTCCCAGTAGACCATGAACTGCCCACTCAGTCAGTGGGGAAAGGTAATGCCCATAAAATGGTTCTGTGACGAAAGCCATGGGTCACAGTTTAAAAAGTGTTTTAAAAGAGTAATAAAAACAGTAAAAGTTTAAATTAAAATATTTTTTTCTCTCTTTCCATCATTACCTGTCCCAGTCCATGAGCACTGACCATCAGTAAGAAGTATACCAAAGCCACTGCCTAAATCCTTTTCCCATGATACTTGTAGGAAGTAGGTTGTTTCTGGATCAGAAACTGGATGAATTCTGTTCAGAGTCTTCTCCATTTTGCCAGCACCTGTTTAAAAAGATAATCTTGTTATATCCCATGGGGTACTTAGTAACTTTACATAACTAATACAGGAGTTAGAGGGGGAATACACAAACATGAGTATGTTTGTATTTTACTCTATTTTTCTTCAGTTTGTCAGAGATATTTACAAGCAGAAAAATGGATTATAATAAGCAAGGTTTAAAAGAATAGCGTCAACAATTACATATATTTGAATTAAAAATTCAATTTAAGAAGCTATCAGAAATTACAGTACACAAGCACTCCCCACACGGCTCTGTTTTTAACTTGCCATCACCCAATGTACAGCACGTTTAACATAATTCCAAGTAATCAATATTCATTTGGAAGACTGCCACATGAAAGCTGCAGAGAGTGCAGCAAACACTAGCAACCCAGAGAAAATAGTTTAAACACTGGGTGCAGTGGAGATCAAAATATATAATGCTACAGTGAATTTTTTGCTGTACAGCAAAGCAACTTGGCAACCTGTGCTTGACATAAGACCTCTAAGGAATCTCATGTATTTATACATAATCTAATCTGACTGAGTGAAGCGACTGGTAAAAGGCTACATGTTCACTCACACACTAAAAGTAGCATATAAAAGCAGCAAAAACCCAACTGAGGTATTTAAACTGCATGTACTGAGTACAATGATGCTCAGACAAGTAGGGTATTAAATGCTCTATCAAGTTTTCCATCTAAAGCGTAGCAATAAATAATCATGATCAAGATCAGCTCAGGCCCTGAGGGGACTCTTCAAGTGATAGTCAAAGGAAGTTCATTCTTTGCTCGTGGACATTGAGAGCCAAATCTAGATACAGATATAACTACCTCAGACCTCACCAAAACTTGGTATCTTCAGGCTGGGAGGAACAATTTTAACTGCAGCTGACTGTCCTGTGCTTGATTTGCCCAGCTCAGCACCCATCAGTATTTGAAAAGTATCCCAGACAAGTGCACACTATTCAAAAGAAGCAAAATATCTAAGACTTGGTATTCAAGCATAAAGCTTTACTATTTACATCCATAAAACACCAGTGTGTTTACTATTACAGATGTCATACCCCACCTTTCCATTCCTGCAAATGCACCAGAAACTAAAATGTTACTCAAAACAATATAGAATAATTAGTTTGCGTCAAAAAAAATAAAGTTTTCCATTTTCATCACCAAGCAAATGACCACTTCCGAAAACCTAAAGCATGCCTGTGCACCTGTAAGCAAGAAAAACATTAAATGTTTGGGGTATGGACAACTGGAACAATGCGATTAGTAATTCTAGAAATATAGCCATTTTAAAGATTTTTAGGGTATTAAGTGCCTGGGCATGGGTTAATAAAGAGCATAGGGCAGGAAAAACAAGTCATTCACAAAGCATGGTCAACCACAGACATTATTTTCCTTTGCCTGCCAGACTCCCTTTTGCTTTTTGCTTATTCTGGAAAAATACAATGAAATATTTTCAAAGAAGTCCTTCTCTGAAAGACAGTGTTTTTAAAAAGACTGCAATTACTGTTTTTTACTTAAAGACTGTAGCACACAACCCTGACAATTTGTTCACCTGTGGTAAAGCACAAGCTCAATGAAAACACACTGAGGAAACACACAGAGCAGAATAATGTTTCAAAATAAATACAATACATTTTCCTGCTTTTTCACATTTTACTGTGTGTCTCTGAACAATTTTCCCAGACAGCACAAAATGAAGACACTTTCTCCCAGCTTTTATCTCCTTCAGTGTGCTCACTGACCTTTTGAAAGGAGTATTTTTTATTACTTCATGTTTAGAAACTGCCTCACTAAGCAGAGCTCAGCTTGGCTTGACATCCCCAAGCACTCAAGTGTTCCAACCCATCAGCAAAAGCTTAAGGGTTCTTGGCTGTATATAATGAGTGTTATATACTTCTCTTCAAGAGGAGGAACAAACCCTCTTCATGAAAATCAGTCTGACCTACACAGTACATAGAAACATCACTGCAAACAATCATACTCTACCTTACTGCTTTTTCAAAAACCTGTTTATAAACAAAGCAATAATGAAAACAACGAAAAAAATAAAATCCCATTTCCACAAACCTCCCAACAATAAAACTTCTTCAGAGTTTAGTGTAGTGTTGAGTAAACAGATATACTGCATACAGTTAAAGCATGAATACAGCAAAAAAATAGCAAAGGAGCTCCCTAACTACTTAGCAGCTAGCAATTACCACAACAGAAAACAAAAATAGACACTCAAACATCATTCCTTATTAATTCACCGTAAGGTGAGTGCATCCATTCTAAAGGCAAAAATAGATGTACATCACTGTTAGTTCCAAAACAAGACCTCCAGGCAGAGGAAGCTGGAAATGAGACATCCTACTTGCATTCCAGTAACTCTATTTAACATCTTTAAAAGTTGTATTGCTCTATACTTCAAGAGCTGACACAAAACACTCTCCTCGTAACTAATCCATCCCAATCCACCACCTGCTCACTAAAATCCCCTCATTACCCCAACACCTTCCAAGGCACCTCATGCACATGACTCTTCACAGATCAACTACTTCTACCAAGTCAAAATTTCATTATGAAATAGAGCCAAAATGACAAAGGATGATGGAGAGTTGAAACTTTAAGATGTACTTTTCCTTATGCATCTTTGAGTGGGAAGGTAGGAATTGTATTAACACCCAAAATGGCTAAAAGAGCCACCTGAATTTTGTGAGTCTTACTACTTACCGGTCCAGCTGTTGGCAAAGATTGCCGAAAAAAACACAAAATCACTGCATAAAAAACAGATTATGTTTTTATTGTTACTCAATAAACTAATTTACTGAAATCAGACTCATTATTGCAGTCTAAAGAGCATCTCTGACTCCATTAGGCCAGAGGAGTACCTTCAAGTGCCACTCAATATTCACCAACACCATCTCTGTGGGCTCTTTCCCTTCACTGTCTCAGTAGAATGGGAGCAGCCAGTACTTTCTTCCTTCTCTTGATTATGACAAAGAAAACTTGCACAAAACTGATGTGCTAGGGCATAAGAAAGCCAGTGTTTTACTCCTGAAGGGCACAGAGGGTCACACAGAACACCAGCACCTCACCATGCCAGAGCCTAGGACCAGAGACTAGCTCGCAGGTGGGAATAGTCAAGTCCCACCCCAAATCTGTAAATCAGAGGCTTTATTGAGGCCTTTGAACAATTGGGAATTGAGCTGTTTATCTTTAGCACTTTGTCCCTTTGCTCTTTGGCTTCTACAATCTACATTAGGTAATGCTTCTTTCTGAGGAGAAATCAGCTGTTGGCTGCTGCCTTTGCCCTCAGAACAAACACTACACACAGGGGCTTCTGAATAAACAAGACACTTTTAAAACTGGTTTACAAAGGATTTTATATGTTGTTTTGGATAGCACTAAGCACAGACCAAAAGCCAAATCTTTCAGGCTACTCCAACACAGCATCATTGATAATATTTTGAACTTCAGCACTTTATTTTTTTTTCTCCATGCAGACTAATGGCTTTTTTTTTTTAATTGCTTGAGTTGCAGGTGTTCTAAACCTCAGCAGCTATGCATGAAAGGCTACTTACAGACCAGAAAGAGCTACTATGCCTTTGAAATGGAGCAATTAACTTAAGTGCTTTCTTATTAAGAAAAATGGGAGTTCAGAATAGAAGACCACACACACTGCTATTAAAGCCCAAAGTTTGATCCCTTCTGACCAGAAAAACTACAAATCAGAATCTAATAATCAGAATGAAGTTAATATTTAATTTATAATCAGAGAACAGGTGCTGTTCAGGAGATCCTACGCATACTTGTAAGTCAATAATTGGAGAGTTAAACTAGTCAAGAAAAACTCAAGATTGCTTTTAAAGATTAAAACTAGCTATTACCACATTTTCTAACAGGAGGAAATAAGATAATGCCTATATTTATGCATATTTCCAGTTATATATTTCACACAAATTGATATTCTCTCATGTTAATTTAAAATTCCATTAACTCAAATACTTCAAGAGAAAGAGCATTAAAGAAGCTGACAAAAACTTCAACTCTGACTCCATTAATCTTAGAACTACTATCGATCCAATAGGGACTTAGTCTTCTTCCTTTTCTTTTTTGAAAGAACATGATTGGGCCAACAAACATAAAGAAAACAATACAGGACCTTTCTGGTCCCATCTCACAAAAAGCCTCCCATCCCCTTGGCCACAATATTTGTTTGACACTGAAGAAAGCCTCAATAATAGCCTTCATCTGTAACTTAAAGATAAATCTGAATAAGAAGATTTATAAGAAAGAAGATTTGTAAGAAAGATTTGTAAGAAAGAAGAGAAAAAAATTAGAAAGAGTTTTGTTTCCTAATGAAATTTAAGGGGGTTAGGGCATCTTTATATTACAGGCATCCTAAATTATATCTAGTAGTTCTTTTGTTTAACTTCACTCTATATTAAAAGCACAAGGATTACAATTTTGTCAATAATGCAGCTTTGTCTTGCAGATAAATGAACCAAAAATTGGTAGTGGATGTGACAAGTAACTGAGTGTATAATTTTGTGCAGGAAAACAGGTCATTTTAAAAATTCAGTCCTGTATGGTAACATTTGATCAAGAGATCATGGACTGAACTGCACAGTCAAGGCTCACATGGCTCACATTTGCACTGCTCCCTTCCCACCGTTTCATGGCAGCCACAAAGGATTGGAAACATGCACATACTTTTCCTGCAATTGTCCCCTGCAAAATCAAAACCAACCAAACAAAATCAAACAAAAACACCAAAACAAACCAGTCTTGAGCTTGTCAAACACCATAGGACAGCAAGATATAGCAGATTTGCAACAAAAGATGCGGAATCCATGATAAGGAACAACCCTTGTCAGGCTTATTTACTACAGTCACCAGCTGAAAAATGAGAAGAAACAGAAGAAAGCAGACAGTCAACAACCTTTATACTACGAATCTTACTAAAAAGCCTTGATCTTAATTGTAGCCTGGAGGCAAAGCCCACCCTGGTGTCTTTCATCCTTGAAGTCTCAGGCCTAACCCACTACCCACTCCAGGCATCCAGGCTTGCCAAGCTTACTTATGAGCATCTACATTAAGCTGTAATAAGGTTAAAAAAAAAAAAGGTCTTCAATGTATTAAAATAAACACCCAAGTGGGCAATTATACTAGTATATACTAGTAAATAAGTACCCAGATAGATTTTTAAAAAAGGGACAAACGTTTCTTTTTCACCCTTTTCTACCAACCCTTCCTGACACTAACAATTCACTATGTGCATGCTGGCAAATCCTCACTTTCCAACATCCATAGATAAACCAGGACGTACAGTTATAAACCTGTAAACAATAAAATAAAAATAAAATTAAGTCATGCAATGCATGCATTTCCTGATGAAAAGGTTAATTTTAGTGGCAAAGTTACTAAAAGGTATGCATAGAAGGGAGTAAAGATCTAAGACAACAACCAGACCAGCTTCCAGAGGGCAGATCTGAGATGAAGAGTCAGCAGGTGTGTCTCAGAGACCCAGACTTCCCTCCTTCCTTGCCTCCGGGAGATGCAAGTCCCAGCAAATCCTTTATAACTCCACTTTGGCATAGGACATCCTGGTTTTCCAAGGTCCTACCAAAGCCAAGGGTGGCACAGTGCCTCCCCTTGAAATCCTTAGGATATTTATTATTAACATAAATGTATCTCCAAAATAACTCATCTCCCCATAAAAAAAAAAAAAAAAGCATATATCAATCTCCCCCATAATCTCTCTGAAAAGACAGCACTAAAAGTGTTACATGTTTTACAGATAAAAAGCAGAAGAAGGAAATTGTGCCAGATGCAACTTCTGAGCCCAATGTATTCAATCACTAAAAACAAAGATATGGTAATTTCAAGTATCTTGGACATATTTTTAAAAGCACTTCTGCAGTGCTTTTAGTAACTTAGTATTATGCATTTGAGGACAGCAAAGTTGAGGAATTTTTGGGGGGAAGGGAAAGACAAAAAGCAGCATGTTTTAATCACTCTTTGTCTATCCAAAAATACTTTGATACATGTTTTTTTGATGTATATTTGGATAACACAGTAGTCTGGTTGAAGTATCATCTGTTTTCCAAAACACTGCCTTCTTCAGGATTAAATATTATATATATTATATTCAACACAAATCTGTCCCACAGACTTCCTTTGTTTTCTACTTTTTACTCCCATATTACAGTCCTGCTGTTTCTCTAAACACATTAAACTTAACATCACTGAATGATGGATTCCACTAAAATCTGCCTTTTTCTTTTTTAATTTTTAAATCTACTAAATTCAGTACTACTGAATCCACAGTAGCTCCATAGGCAAGAGTAGTAAGTATGAAACAAAGACAAATGAAACAAAGAAACCAGTGTGTCAGGTAGATACGTATTGATGTAATTCTGCATGTAAGGTTTCTGAGGATTTTTGAAAAATTGAACCCAGTAACCTGGAAAATCAAGTTTCACCAAATGTAGCCATTTCAGTGGGACAAGGGCAGGTATAAATGTGAAGCCTTATACATCCTCCTACCTCTACACCCAAGACTTTTCAAAGAGATGGATTATTTTAATTTCACGTCCCTGTCAAATTAATAATAAAAAATAGGCTCAGGCTCCAAATTGCTTCATCTTGCCAAACTGTTTCCTAAGGCACTTTCTTTGAAGAAAATTCCTGCATTACCCAGTCCTCACTTAACAAAAGTTTTATTATGTTTTTTTTTTCCATTCACTATTTATCTGCTGAAAAAATGGCAAAATTGAGCTCCCTGAAAACAAAGAGCTCACACTACTTATATTTATTAATTCAAAAATTGTAATTCACGTTGCTTTGTCTGACCCACGCGGAAAATAATTCATAAGATGTTTGCAACAAACTGAGTTATTCACTTTCAATGCATTTAAATTTAAATGCCATGTTTGTCACTTGGCATTGAACATTAATTACTTTCCTGATGGATTAGGCAGAGTTTGAAGATAAGGCAAAGAGACATAAACACTGAACACCTATTTCACTTGTTTCCACAGGCACCACTTTAGCTTAGGTTTTGTGACAATGCACATTTAAACAACCAAAGCAGGGCAGAAGCACCAGTACACAAATCCCACAACCTCACCAATCACAGAGCAAACAAGCATCTTTGTTCTAAAAAATTTATATATATATATAAAATAAATAAGAACACAGTTCCACAGAAAATTCAGTGGCCACTGAATCTACACCCTGAACCATCACTTATGAATCTATGAGCTTGTAGTGAATCAGAACTACAACTAAAAACCACATTCAGGGAGAAAAGAAGACACAAAGAGCTTCACAGGAGTCCCTTGTTCTTTTTGCATCTTAAGTTCTGTGCCTAAAAACATAAAGCCTCTCCAGACACATCAGCTCACTGCTTTTCCAAGCAATATTCATGACTCTTTTATGCCATTTTTTGTTGTTGTTCTTACTAAGGAGTAGGGAAAAAAAACAAACAAACAAACAAAAAAAACCTTCTCAAAAATTTAACCCTTACCCAAGACACTTGACACCAAGCGGGGAGTCTACTTCAGGAAACCAGCTTTTCAATATTAGTTTTCCTTCACATCTACTAAAGAATTCCTTAAATAAAAATCTGCAGAGGACACAGCAGGGGCACACCAGGGGAAAAATGCCACTGGGACTTGAGCTGAGAGGGTAATTAAGCACTCATTAGGAAAATACAGCACAAAAGTGCTTTGACGCTGCACCAGTTACACAGAGTTTTGAGATATTAAAATGTAAAGTGTAAAGCACCAGAGAGGTCTCTGGGTACTGTGTTAAGAATGTAAGTCTAAGAACTCTGAAATAATGCAGGTACGTGAGCATAAAAAACCCAGCTCTTTGTCCAAAAGAGTCACTTCTCCACGGCCCAAATAAACTGTTTCAGTGGAGTTTTAGGTAAAGTACCCCCACCATGCATTTTCCTCTCCTTCAGTGTTACAAAAGGCCCAAAATAACAACATGAACCTAAAATTAACTAAATATATATACACTATATAAATTATGTAAGTGTATATATACACACTACACAAAATATACATATACTATATACATATTATTAATATATATTTTAAAAATTCCTTCTCTACCTCTTTATTTAAAGAGAATTAAAAAATATTTTTAAGATAGTCAAGTATAATAAAACAAATCCATGGAACAGCCAAGATTTTAAAAATGATGAAATATAAAGCACATTTTTCATCTATAGACTTTGACCAATACAGAGGGGAAAAAAACCCACTCTTTTATCTAATACTTCTTGCAGGACATTTAAGTCAAGTAGGTTCGTTACCAAGACACACAGGATGCTACACCTGGTTCCTTGCTGCTTATCTCCAAAAATAATTATGCCAGCTTTCACCAAAATTAAAATTTCTGCCTCAGCCATGCTGGACTCTGCAAATTAACAACCAGTTTCTCAGTAATTTAATTTAAGCCCACATAACACCGTTGGCTGCCTCCAAGGGCTGTTGTATCTTCGCTTATTGGCTCAGCCCAGGCAAATCCCTCCTCAGGTTTTTGTGCCGGTTTCCACCCCAGGCCCAACACAGCCAAAGGCGCTTGGAAAGCTCCAGGCTCCCTCTTCCCTGTCCAGCTACTGTGCTGAAAAGAGTGGCTGCTATAACCCCTTTGTAGACCTGTAAACAAACAACCCCTTTCATAATCATTGGAATTATTTAAAAATACAAACAAAAAACACCAAAAATGAAAACAAACAAAATCAAAACAAACAAAAACACCAAACAAAAAACAAACCCAAAAAAATAAATGCAGCGTGTGATAGGATATATAGCCTCACTTTTCCTCTAACTATTTCTGCACCAAGACAGCCAGCAATTTGGCTGATGTCTAAAAAAAGGGCACAAGAGTTCTCAGTCTCTGTACTCTTAAAATTACATAAGATCAGTCTCCTTTTGTTACTATTTATTCACAATCTCGGCTCTATCTCTCTGCTCAGTTGGAGGACACCCCTTCACAGCAAGCTCACCTAAGAGTCTGCAGATGCAGAAATATCCAATACTTTTCCATGCTTTGCAAATTTGGGTAATTTATTCAAGAAATATTTTGTGAAATCACGAGTCTGCCTTAAGAGACAGTAATACCAGAGACCCTTGCCCAGGCACACACATATAATGAATCTTTTTTTTCCAACTTGGAACTTTTCCTGTAAGACATGTTCTTCATGTTGATCAGATTTGACTCTCTTAGATCTGCAAAAACAGTAATTTGTTTTGTAATTATTTTCTACATACTGCCTGAGCTTGTGTCAACATGGTACCATACATAATTCAGTAACTCCTTTGTGTCTTGACATATCTTGGACACTAGTCCTTTACCATTACATTATCAGATACAACATTCCATTCATAATCTTCAAATTCACAGGAGGTTTTTACCACCTTCCTTTTTTTCCCACCTCATCTACAGAGAAAAAGGAGGTGGGGAAGACTAAAATCCACAAAGACATCCTGATTATAATTAGCAGGAGTTGAAAGCCACTGTTTCTTAATCAAGGAAAAGGACACAGTTCAAGTCAGGGATGGAACTAGAGCAAACTCCATTTTTGGTGGGGAAAAAAAATACCATTTCAAGACCCATTTCATAGCATTTTACAACAGCTGTCTAAACTGGATTCTTGGTTATCTAATGAGGCTAACTCAGACCAAAACTCATGCACATGATTCTACACATTCCACAAAGTATCCGCAAGCACCCCACATTTTTGCCAGGTGCATCAGTGAAGAAATCACAGCTGCCTCCTGTTAACTGGAGTCCCTAAAATCTCACCCCAGACTCTGGGTGATTCCACCCACTCTTCAAGGACGTGTGTTACTTTTTCATCTGGGGCTCCTGAGCTCTAAAATAACCTCTTAAAAAACAACCTCCACCTACTGCTAATCCCTAGGTGACAAGAGTGAGGGATTAAAATTTCTCCTCCTTAAGTGGTACTGAAAGATGACGACATCAGAAACAGGCACTTAGACAAAACAGCAAGTGACCCTGCAGGGCTTGTGGCACATCCATGAGCACATGAAATATTTAAGTATCATATTTTAGGTATTATTTTAATGAAGTCAACATGCAGAACAGTAAATCAACCTGAATTATCTCATCCACACTGAAATGGAAGTTTATTGGCCAAAACAGATCACTGCAAGACATCCAGCATTCCTGTACACCAGCAAGGGACTGACTGTGCCACAAGAAGGGATAAGGTCACCTGTGTCACGTACAGCACAAATATTTCTGCAGCAAGGCCATAACACCTCGGGGTTTTTGTTGCTTAGGAGCTGCAGTGCCTTGCTAAGTTGTGCAGTAACCTCTGCATCAGCCATCAGTTGTGTATATGTCATATATACATGAAACCTATCACAAAAAGCAGAAATTTTAAGGTACAGAAATTGCCACTGCTACAAGAACACTTCTTGTCACACATCACCCAACCCAGTAGATTTCTATAAAATGTAAGGTAAAATACCAGGTTAAAGCACTCCTCCCAAGCACCCCATATATGACAACTGAGGTTCATCCTTGCTGCAAACTCCCAGCACTTCATAGCTACTATGGTCCACCTTGCTGCAGTGAGTATCACATGCACTTTTGGTAACAGGGGAGGTAGAAGATGGAGAGAAAGGGGAGCCATACCTAAGTGTAGGTAGGTTTTTTTGTTTTGCAAAAACAGTGTTAGCAAACAAATACCACATTCTAATTGCCACTGTCAGAATGCTACCTTCTTGCACAGAACGCTACCTACTCACTCCCATGTTTTCCTGCATAATTCATATCCCTCATGTTCAGCTGCCTTCTGATTCCAGGGGGAGAGCAAAAAGAATTTGTAACTGTAGCAACTATGCAAATATGTTTTTAAGCAGTCATGCCTGTGTTTAAAGACACTAGGAAAAACAGATGTGAATGCAACAAAAGAAGAGCCAAAGAAAAGTCCAAGAGCTTTTTGCCCATCCCTCAAAACAGCATATCTCAAAGAAAAACCAATTTATAGTTTATTTGCAAATACTTTTTCCACTTCATATACACACATGTACATGTGCTAAGCACAAAAACTTGTCTACAAAGATGTACCTGTGGTGTCACTCACCCACCTATGGTGTTTTTAAACTATTTCCTCTAATCCTCCTGCTTCTCATGAAGTATAAGAGTCACAGGAGAAGCTAAACACCAATCCTTCCCATATGCAATTGCCATTGTTTTGTGATAATTCTTCCTGCATTTGAAAATAGCCTGGAAGTTTAGTGTGTTTTACTTTTCATTATACACACAAATTCCTTGGTATGCTCTATTACTCAACTGAACACTGGAAAATCATACTACTAAAACATTTCCTAACACCAGAAGGCACAGCCAAGTTCATCAACCCTCCTCTTCAAAAACCCAACAGCAACAGAGAACCAGTATTAAATAAAACCATATGGTTTTACTTAAATATCCGAACGTTGCTACACAGATCAGTATAATTGTTTAAACTCCTGATCTGAGATTTCACCAGACAATAGTGCCTACCCAGGCAATTCCTGAAGACAATACCAACCAAGCCACCCCAGCCACTCACAGCTGGCTTTCCATAACAAGAAATTAATTTGGTGAAAAAAAAAAAAAAAAAAACAACACCAAAGATAAGTTGGAGTAACACTATCTGAAAGTTCTTATTTCAGTCAGAAAGACTACTTTCAGACAATAGATAGGTAGGTATCTTTTAAATTATGCCACGAAGGCTCCTACAAGATTATTAATGATCAAATGGATATTTTTCCCCAAAACTGCAAAATATGCAGCTGAAATCATTTTAATACAGCATATGATCAATGAAAATTCTTCTCTGAATGCCTGTGACTGTTGGAAACTTCACTTGAAAATTAAACTGCCAGGGTCAGTAAAGAGCATTTTAACAAAAATCTGCAAGGGATTTCACATGGGAGCTCACCAGAAACTATCAAAGTAGGAAAAAAGTATAAAAAATTTATCATATGGGGCATGTTTGTAAACAAAACTACACTAGAGGAACCTACCTGACCCCCTGAAAGCAGGTTGTGGTGTGACCATGCACTGACAGCTGGACTCTCTTTGGATGTTACAAGAAAAGTTTTCAATTTGAGTAGCTAATTCACATTCGAGTATCCAAAAGTGAACCCAAAAATGCAAAACAACACATTTTTCTCCTTCAGTTTCAGAGACACATAGAAGAAAAGTTCAAAAGTATTATTGCCTCTAAAATCTTGGATCATGGTGACCACCAGAGGTTGTCCAATGGTTATAGTTACAGTTTCCTTCTCTTTAGAAATGCCCCTTAATGTGATATCATTCAAACACTTTAATATGAGGTTATCCTAAATAATAAAGCTGGGTTTAGAACTTACTGCTTTTAGGGTGTTTTTTTTTTTAATCCAAAGCCTTGACATGGGACGAAAATAAATAGATCCAGTGAATGTAATTCACTAACAGAGTAAGAAGTATCAGAAAAGTAGTAAGAAGTATGAACACATTATGAGAAAATGATCATGCATGTTGCTGGTTACCTATTAAATCAGTAGATGAATGTGCACATTAACATGCCTTCATAGTTACCAGACTTTATCTAGAAAAAAGAACTAATCCAAAATCAATATAGTGCCTGAAACCTACAGATTGGAAAAGCAAGTTATGCAAGAAAACCACATATGAAATTCTACATCTGCTTTTGCTGAAACATTGGTTTCAGTTTCTACATTTGCTTTTTGCTGAAAATATCCCAGTCACATTTTTGAGGACTACAAATCTGAGACCAAACACATGCGAATTGTACTGACCAAAGCTACTACGGCAAGTGAAACTGCCCTGTAGAAAATATCAACAGCATTTTAAGAGGGTTGTGTATGCCTCACTTGCCTTAAACTCCTCTGCTTTAGTGGAACATTGCCTGGATTCCACTATAAAAGCATATTTTATACACAAACTCTCATCAGCTTCAGGAAGTATGTCAAACGTTATCCCAAAATGTTAGCCCAGAATGTTATTTTCGGGGTGAAAAATTTGTTTCCCCTGATCAAGGGAAAAAGCAAAACCCATCCCACACTGAGCAGACAAACAAGAACAATTTGGTGCTGAAAGAGAGAGAACAGAGATGCCAGAACCAAGTAATGCTTTTTGAGGTCTGTCGAACTGGAAACTGAAGCTCTTTCAGTTACTGTGTCTTCAGTCACCAAAAGAATACACCCTGTTCATGACGAGGAAACAAAGCACCTTTAAGACACCAAGTTCAAAAATTCTTGGAGAAATGCAATTACAGAAAAGAGGATGAAAACTTCCACAAGGGGAAAACAGAGTACGGGAGCCAAAATACATGAGACCGGAGCAGGCTGTGGGAGCCTCCGAAATCAGCCTGTGGAACTGGCTGTGCCTATGGAACAACGGAAGAAGAAACAATAAGAGGGC